TTGATACTTGCGTCGATAGTTTGCAGAATGGCTTAACAATACAAAATACGCACTGTCGAGATATGAGAGAATCCTGTCTGGACGAGTTGCTATGAAATATCCGTTAAAGTCCACGGCGTCTACCGGAAAAACTTTTCACAAGCTACCACTCTCTCGTAGCGGAAGAGTGAAACTTACTCACTGTATTTTGGTTTGCTAATTTATGACGCGTTACCGGAAGTATCGTGACGTCAGGATTTATGTTGAATTGAATTCGGTAGCAAAAAGTTTGCAAATATAACATTTTGAAGGACTTAAAATATAGACCGGAAAATAAACTGACAATATTCTATACTCATATCTTGGAATTGAAAAGGTGATATTAACAGAACAGCAGATTAATTTTACGAATGGTTGGTCATGTGAGGGCGCAACACCGCTTGAAGATGCCCCACATTTGAAATCATTATTTTTTACGTTTAGTTGCCGCACTTCTACTCTTTTTAATTGAAGACAAATGTGTAACTCTGATTAGCTAATGGTTTAAAATTAAGGAATTCGTGCAGTAAGCTGTATAGATATTTAATGTAGTAAACAAATCCACTAATCAACACATTCGCCGTAAAGAGCGTCACTTGAAGTACGAGTACGTTGTACATGGTTCAATTTGACGGTCGTGGTTATTAAACAAAACACATAATTAGAATAATTATTCTTATTTCTTTCCCAAATGACAGAAATATGACTGAAAATCAAACAAAATTAACAAAGTCTGTTATGAGAACTGATACGCTGATGGCGCACTGCAGTCAATCTCTATGTTTTATGCTTTCACGTCTAACCAATGTAACGTCCCTAACACACCGTGACGTCATACATAGTGTCTATAAAATCACCAATACATGTGTCGTCCAGAATTTACCGCTACTGTTAGTGTTCATTCCTATTAAACTCTGCCTCAGTTATTTTCGTTCTATTTAGATTCACCGTTTTTGTTTGTTTTTTACAATTTGTACAGCCTTCGGGCCTACCCTTGATGCGGTATTTACACACAATGGCTTACATTGTATATTCAATAGAATCGATGTCATCCCCTATTTCGAGGGACACATGCCTAATGCATACATTTCGTTGAGGAGATCAGATTTTAAACCTGAATATAAAAGCTGGAACATATTGCTTCCATAAACTGCTGATAGTGTAAACAAACATTCCGACCTCAACATCTGGAATAAATATTGGTCTACACCTGAACTGAATTCCTGCCTTTCTTAAAGCCCAATAGCTGTGGTTCTGAACATTTATTTGTTTAAATGTGACCACATAAAGATGGATACGTTTTCGACATTTTGCCCAGGACCCCCCCCCCCCCGGTAAAGTGGCATTTGTACCGTAATTCCTGATGTTCGAGTGACAAAACTGGATTTCAATAAATGGCGCGCTCTAGAGACTAACAGATGTTATAACGTATAAAGTTGGTATAATCGTATATATCGTATATGCCATGCGACTACCGTTACAAATTGGCAGTAATGACATAAGAAATGTTTTATGAAATATAAAAATCAGCGAAAAAGGTCGCAGTTACCGCTTTAGTAAACAGGGACTTTACGTGACTATCTCAGTCATCTCAGCGTCTTATGGTGTTTTTGTACGAGTTGAGTCCAGTTTAAAAACACTCGGAGATCTATGGTGTGATGTATTAATACCTAAGATTTAATTTCCACTGAAAATGTCACTGAAACCGTATATTTGTTGATGAAATAATCCTTAAATCAGAACGTAAACTGTTGGTAAACTTCATTCAATTAGCGACCTGTTGATTCCTGGTTCAGTTTAACATTTGAAAGCGATCTAAGGCTGAGAAAAAATATCTCTGTTTCTCGTTTCCGCGCGCATCATTTTAAACTATGCGCCTCGGACGTTTTTTTTTTTTTTCTAAAGCATTCCAAAATGCGCTTGTATTCACACCTGTCTCAAATTTCCCCCATTTTAGCCCAGTATTCAAAAAAAAAAAAAAATATCGCCTCGCCGCCTAATTTTGAAATTTCCATGAAACGAGAAACAGGGATTTTTTTCTTGGCCTAACGTCTTTGAAAAACGCCGGCATTTATCGATCATTCTCCATTCCTAAGAATCAAATGATCTGCCCGATTTATGACGGGGCTCATGTGGACTTTCGGTGTATAGTATAAATACTTCAAGTTTCAAAGCAAGATGATGTGGATGTGTTATTTGTATTTTTCTTTTGTTAAAAATCCAGGCAAAATTTGATTGAAATCTCGAATTTTGAGATCTGAAGAACATTTTGGACCACGGATATATATTGAATCAAACCAATATACTGCAATTCCTTCCCAGTCTTCTATCGGTCATGTCTGAGAAATGTTTACTCCGAGTCACCCCAAAATGTCATATGTTGCATAGATATATTGCTGGACCCAGTTTGCCGACTGATTTTAAGACTTGAACTTAAAGTCGTACTAGTATTTGATGCGTTGTGTGACAAACATGGCATTTTTCAAGGCAGTCTGTTGAGGTTGTTGAATGTACTG